CAAAGGCCTATTGACTGTCGAACAACCACTTTTGAACATTGCCAACAACGGTAATCTTGATGACTTGTGTAAATCCTTGACTGAAGTGCTTAGTGAAGATACAAACAGTGTTTCCAAAATGGAAAATAATTCAATTAAACATGTGCCAGTAAACCAGACAATCAAGAAAGTTGGGCACAGCATGTTTTATGAAGTTGATACAGTGAAGTTAGTACCTGCAACATCAAAAGAAACTGAAAAAGCAGATGCTGTGGTGTCAGATGATGAAGGTAGGCCAGGTATTATAAAATATTTTAATGATAACCTTCACCTGTTTTAAATAAGAATTTTAATAATGCAATATTTTACAACTGTAGATCCTAGCCCATAGTATTTTGTGTTCTGTTTGCAAGTGGAAGTACAGCTGAATAGGATTGTAAACATTAGTAAGAACATGGCATCCAATTATTTCTTTAGTAGATGTGATTAGTAATTTTCTTCAGAAAACATGAGCTTTTGTGGGCAATGAATGCCTGGTACTACAGACTGATGGTTCATATAACTTCTATGGTGCCTTCTTTCTATAAATATTGTTACAAGTAACAAAGATTTTAGGGTGGAGGACACTTTATGGTTTATAATTTAAGTTATTTAACTTGATTTATATGAGATATACCAGACCTATCATCAGGTGGTGTTTCAGCAGCAGATACGTAATACAGCAGATCCATCTCATTTGTGGGTTTGCACATTGTGGTTATTCACAGAAAATGTATTGTGGTAACATCTGTGTATCATAGAGTAGGTCTCTTGTTCATTCAAAGTTGCTCTTGTGTAGACACATGGAGTAACACAAAACAACCTGCATATGCCTGCCAGTCTCAGTAGCTGTATAGATATTGTGTCAAATGGAATGTAGTTCGACCGTAATTTTCGCAGCTTTTAGAACTGATTTTTGCCCTTGTGTTCTATGACTTTAACAACTTTCAACCAGGAATTCCATTGTCATCCCAGTAAACACCAAAACTATATTAATAATTAATTATGTATATTAAATATCATGTTTTGTGTGCATTTGGTTTCCCTAACCCCAGTTTTCCCATAAGGTCTTAACTTCTTGCATAATGGCTTTACCATTTGCAAAGGTTTTCAAGGATATAAGCCCTACAAACAGTGAGGGTGTGCTGTAGAAATGATGTGTAAGATCACATTGTTTAATTTTTCAACATTGAATTTAATGATAACTGTTTCTTTCTTCTGCAAGTTAAGAAGTTCATGTACCCATTATTGTTTATATAGTTTATTAAAGATGCATTTAAAAGTATAATGATGCACTTACAAGCATTAAGAAACAGTTTTTTAAACATGTGTGAGAGCATATCTTTTTATTAATATGTTCTTTATTTCAGAAATTTTTATTTCAAAAAAGGCTTGCGTGAAGATTGGAGCCTTTGTTAGTAATGTATAAATAACAGTTTTCTGCTTGCCCTATTCTTATGCAGATGACTGAGGCAGATATACCACAGAACGATTTTAATGGCATAGATTAGATATCTGGTGTTGCACTTGCAGTCAAAAATATGATTGTTTTTCTGCTTTCAGTGCCGATTCTTTGGATTTCTTAATACTGGACCATTAGAATTTTTTTTTTCAGTTCCAGATGTCCATCAGGATTGCACAATATTCAGCGGTGTGTCATACTTAGGAGCAGCAGCTATTAATGCTCCAAAGAGTGAAGCAGAAATTCAGCGTAATATGTGCATTTTAAATGAACAGTCTTCAGAACAAGCCATCAAGGTGTCAGTTTCTGTGCCAAGCTTGTCAAATGGCACAGTTGTGTAAGTACTTATTTATAATTTCACTTATCACTTGTGTAGTTTGACCAAATTTTTTTAAGTACCTTTATTTGATGTAACATTGTCAAACTCCAAAGTTTTTCTTGGGGTTTTGTTTGTGATGTCCTTCTAGGTACCTGTGTCATTTTTGTGATATTTATTGGACTGTACACTCTTCAGATTTGTTGATTATATTATTTTTATGGAGTGTTCTGAAAGATTGCATTTGCAGGATACAAGAAGTCACCATTTAGGATCAGCTTCTACAAAGAATAATTGTTTTCATTGCTCTATGCATGAAAGGGTATATTGATTGTAATTTCTATATGAAATGTCACTGACTCTTTGCAGCAGAATGACATTTTACTCACGATTCATACAGAAAAGTGCTGTTCAACAGCATATTGAGCCATAGCGTACACACACAACAATAATCAGTACTTACCACAATGTTAAACACAGTTGTTCTGCTGTGTGAATAATTTCAGTCATAATCGCTGTTAGTACTCGGTGAGCCACAGAGTGACAGTTGTGATCATCTTCATTGGTGGCTGCTCTGTATTAGGCACAAATAGAGAAGGTCCAGTTGTTAGTGATTTCCGTAGTATATAAAGTAATATGAAATTAATTTTGACTTTCAGATTGTATGATGCAGCTTCTCATGTGATAATGGCTCGGTATGAAATCCATCGCATCCTGTTCTATGCACGAGGGACAGCGGGATCTACCGAAGCTTCATGTTTTGCCTTCACATGGTCTCATGGAGACACTCAAGAATCAGCTATTTTTCAGTGCCATGTATTTAGATGTGACATTCCTGAAGCTGTAAGTAATGAAAACTGAGTTACAGATAACTAGGTACCAGTAGTATAACATGAAATAAGATGAACTATACTCAAATATTTGTTATTTATCATCCTTGTACTTAGAGCATCAGTGGTTCACATAATTTTTGGCATATGTAAAGTGTTGAGGGAGTTACTGGAGGAACTGCATAATAGAACAGTTATGTGGATGGTGTTTTCGAAGAAAGTATATATTTTCCAGTGCTTTCTATTCATGTATGTGGATGGTTCATTAAAAGTCTGCCTGGGGTTATTTACATGATATCTGTTGAACCACTCAAACATAGTCACCATCCACATTCAGACATGTGTCTTACTGAGTCATCAAGCACTGAATGCCTTTCTTGAAGAATTCCAAAGCCTTCTGCTGGAGAAAGTCATTATTGTATTGGAAATAGTTCTCTGAGATTTTGTGTTTTGGTGTATTGATGTACATGTTGGTTATGTCAAATGAGCACAGTCTGATATTTTCATTAATTTTAATGCTTATTTGATCATTTGTTAAGCTTGTGGAGCTTACAATATTGCATTTTAGGTTATTAATTTCTTTATTGACTTTGCTAGGTTATGTTCTGATGCATTGCACTAGCTCTCTAGTGCAATGCATCAGAACATAACCTAGCAAAACTGGAATGTTATGCTTATATAATTTGAGTAATGTGTGTAAGTTTGGGAGTTTCTGGTTCAGGTTAATAAGTCTACATTTATAGTTTATATGTATTTTGTTATTATTTATCATAAACTATGCCTTCTAGCTTTCCAGTACTGTACCGTGGTATCATTATGAATATGTAGAAAATGATTTCTTCCTAAAAAGACATTTGCTTTGTTGTTATATTAATATCTCTGCAAGATTACAATTTCTATGGGACTGCACAGTGCAACATTCTAGAAGATCGTAATTTTTATATCCTTACAGAAATTAAAGAAGTTCTAACTGCTTACTTGACATAACAGTCTGAAGAAAAATTATTGATGAATCCATTCCTCTTACAGAAAAAGTTGCTTTTCAGTATTATACTCTTGTTGCACAGAACCCTGTTCATTCAAGTATCCTTAATTTGTGCTCAATATTAATGTAATAGAAAGTCTCTGATTTTACTTACATTCTTACTTTGTAGATCTTGCTAGTGGAATTTACTTGGTGTATACAGTTTGTCTGATATGTCTATTTTAGTAAACATTGTTACACTGAGAAGCCATTTGTATCACGTGCTTACTTATTTACTAAATACTATGATTCACTACTAATTGCTCACTTCTGGAAAGAACATCCTATGGAGTGTGACTCAAAAGTTCCAGACCCTTTTGTGGTGGGGGGAGATATACAGCATACTTTGCGGTTGAGAAAAACGTTTCTGTGATGAAGTATTGGTCACACTGTCTTAATTAATATAAAATTATAACCTTTCAGTATATCAATGGAATTAGTATGACAGAATGTAGTAGGTGCCCAAGCATGAAGAAGGTTGCAAAATATGTTGGGTGATGATCAGAATTTGAAGTCAAAGGAAATTTGTTCTAGTCTCTTTCACAGTTTTAATAATGATAAATTTGTCAATCATGTCACAACTTATGAAGAAACTTGGACTTTTTAATATGACCCAAAGATAAAGCACAGATGTCATCAGTTGAATCTTTCAGGTTACCTAGACTCAAGAGTATGTGCTTTTCAAAGTCAGAAGTAAAGATTATATTGATGTGTCTTTAGGTTTCTGACTTTCAAGGAACTGTTGATTCATATGTTGATTGTTATTTTCTGGTTCTGATACCATGTGGCCCTGCAGGTGGTTACCAGCATTTCACACTGAACATGGAGGTAATACATTCCTCCAAAATGTTGTTAACCACCTACAAGACCATATGGCATCACAACCAAGAAAACCATGGTCAACATCTTCAGCACCATGAGGACCTCATTTTAGACTGTTGATTCAGAATTTATTTTTGAAGGCAGACTCTGAACCAGACATTCTTTCTTCATTGTCTGAAAGACACCACTCAAGTAGAAATGTGCATAAATTTATTTGGTCATGTTACTGAATTCTTTACCATGACACTGTATGCCAGTGGACAGTGCCGAAAAGTTTCACATCACTCATCTGAATCAACCTCCTGTCTCCCAGCTTAGCTCCTTGCTATTTCTTATTATATTCCAAAGTTCAGAACTGTTCAAAAGGCTGCCTCTTTCATTTACTTAAAATAAAGAAACAGAATGTGGTATTGGTACTCAAAATTATTTTAGAAGAAGACTTTAAAAACCTTCTTCTGTCATTGCAGACATGTATAGGTCTAGAAAGAAGCTAATTTTTATTGTTTTAGTCTGGAAACCTTTTTATCACACTTCTTAGTTATTTGCCAATATCCTGATTGACACGCAGTTCAAAACAAGGCGCTACAGTTAACACCTACTTTTTAGTTGGCATGTAGTTCAGAACAAACTTAATGTGATAAATACAATTGGCTGGCACCAAAGTTTTTGGTAATTTGCATATGGCTCAGTTCTGCTAGCATAAACAGAAATTGAGATTTACATATTAAAGAGTAACCACTTTCTGTAAGTTGTATTAATGCTGAGATGAAGGTTATTTATTAGCCAGAACAATTTATAACTTAAAGTATTTATTTTAAGATTCAAAATAAGAACTCAAATGTTCATATAAAGCAAGAATTATATGCTTGCTTTTATCGAAGTGTTTTTTCTTGAATTTAAGAGCTAGCTAAACATACCAGTAAATTAAGTATGTAATGGGGTAATATGTTAAGAGAACAACTTCACATTATTTGCTCTCCATCCAACTTACTCTATGGTGCAGGAAATTCTTTGAAAAGTTGATTGTTTACTCAGCTTCGTAAAGAATACACACTTTCTTTATGGAACCTGAAGGTTTATCACTGTGTTCATAAAAGCCCACCACTGGACTATCCTGAGCTAGCTGCATACAGTTAACTCCATGAATTCCTCTTTCCTTAAGGTCCATCATAATGTTATCCTCCCACCTATGCCTAGGTCTTCCCAGTGGTCTCCCTTCAGGCCTCCCAACCAATACCTTTTAAACACCCCTCCCCTTCATCACGCCCGCTGCATGTCCCGCCCACCTCATCCTCAATTTAATCACCCTAAAAATATCAGGTGAGGAGTACAGGTCATGAAGCTCATCATTATCCAATTTTCCCCATGATCTGTCTTCCTCCCTTTTAGGTCCAAATATCCTCCTGAACACTCTGTTCTGAAAGGCCTTCAATCTATGTTTCTCCCTCAAAGTGAGAGAGTTTAATTTTGTAACAAAATTAAGTTTTAACAGTGAGAGATTGGTAGCCCCACACCATACTCCCAAGCTGGAGGACCACCCTTTGTCAGCTGTCCCTAATTGGTTATTCATATCTGGAGGCTTTCTCCATGTGCAGCCTGAGGACACACCATGCTATGGTGACAAGGGACCCACCTAACATGCTGTCCATCCAACAGGTTACCTGATGCACAGAATTGTACTTTACTGTTTGGTTATGGAGCATAGTTGAGTTGCTATTCAATTGAAAGTCATAATGAAATGCTGCAGTGTTTGTCTATGAAATATACTTTAAGTATTCATAATTTAAAGTTTCATTAGAAATTATTATATATTATTTACTGCAAATGGGTTTTTACCCGGTGGCAGTGGTCCTACAATAAAACAATACAATAAGACACAACAAAACAATAAGACACAACAGAACAATGAGACACAACAAAACAATGAGACAGAACAAAACAATAAAACACAAAAAAACATAAGACACAACAAAAACAAAAAAGTGATAGTGGAACCACGGTTCCGGAGAATTTGATGTAAATATGTCTTTACGGAAAGGAAGTGTATATATTGGCTTTATTCTAAATATTTCTTTTATACATTCTTTAAAATTGAGATAATTGTTGACGGCAATATATACTACTGCAACAATGCCAGGTATTGCAACAACAGGTAACCATTGTTGTTTATTTGTTGATAAACCATTGTTACACTTTTTCGTTCCACTATTTCGTTCCACGTTTCTGTTCCATTTCTTCGTTCCACTTTTTTGCCGAATGACCCTTCCCCATAGACGTAGTTACGTCAAAAACAATAAGACACAACAGAACAATGAGATACAACAAAACAATGAGACAGAACAAAACAATAAGACACAAAAAACATAAGACACAACAAAACAATAAGACACAATAGAACAATGAGATACAACACAACAATGAGACAAAAAAACATAAGACACAACAAAACAATAAGACACAATAGAACAATGAGATACAACACAACAATGAGACAAAAAAACATAAGACACAACAAAACAATGAGACACAACAGAAAAACACACCACACTCAAAATAAAACAACTCATAAGATTACAAAACCATATAACCTAAAGTACATAACTTAAAAATTAATACCAACTAGACATAAGACAGTAACAGTAATGAATTACATACGTCATGAACTGATGCACTCACATTTCATCAGGACCTTCTCTACACTTATGAAGCCTTCCCATCCTCACCCCTTATAGATTCAGTGCAGAAATTTGCACTAAAATAACAAATCATAGACTTCTAAATAAAACTAGTGGTTGAAAAGTTGTAATGAGTCATTTGGCAATGGTACTGATTAAAATTTAATGATGGTGTTAATTGATTTATAGGTCATGTATAAGTTGTAGATGTAAATTTAAATGGAATAATACAACATCTATCTATAATAAATGTGCTGTTTGTAACATTTTATTTCATCTTGAAAGAAACCAGCAAATTAAGATATTTCACTTAAATCCTCTTTGGCAATTAGCTGATGTTTCAAAGACCTGCTCTGGTCACAGTCATCAAAGGGAAAGACCATTAGTCACCGATATATAACTCAGGCAGTCCTTGCATTGCCTGTTTATTGTTGGTGCACAAAGTGACCAGAGAGTGGTGTCAGTTGGAGTGATCTCTCTAATCTTACACTGGTTCCCTGAGACTTAACCTGGACAGTGATCCTCTGGCTTTCTTTTTCATGTCTCTGTCATTTATTTACCCTGAGAACTGAAAATCTTACATAAATGAGATATTGTTACATTAAAAGCCATTTAGTTGTGACAATGATGACCATTGCAATATTGTGTTTATGTTTGCAGATTGTTTTGGGGTAGATAGTTAAAGATGTTGATCGAGAGTGCATTTGTGAGTGTGAATGTAAACAGCTGTAGTGATGGTTCATATTGTTTACTTTGTTCTCATTTATTGTATCACAGCACAAGAAACACATTGCTTCTGCTGTTGCAGGCGCAAAGAAAACGTATTTCCATTCAGGAAAGTCCTGTGATTGCCCTGAATTTTCTTTTCATATGCCATCTGAAAACACCAGTCACATGATAACTCTCAAGTTTACATGCTATAAATACAAAGCAGAAGTAGATATTAACTGAGCACAATACTGAGATCACAGATCAAGCATTGTCAATTGTAAATCAAAAGGAAGGAAAGTAGTGTAAACATAGAAGTATTAAAACAAAATAATACAATACATGAATTTGGCAGAAAGCTTTCATCCTGCTCAGCCAATGTTAACCTTGAAATTTAAAATGTGTCATCCTGGTCACTGAACATAGAAATTAATTTTAAAATAAAACTTATCATGTCAAGGACCACACAAAAGTCATACTATGGTCACACACTGACTTACTGATCCATAGTCATCTTATTCATTGGATTTAAATCTTAGCAACTTTTGCCTGTCAGTATAGTTGAAGAGCAAGGTTATTGACAGTATGCACATATAAAGCTAAACTGAAGGAAATATGGAAACATAATAACAATCTTGCAAAATTAACTCCATTGTGTAATAAATATGTTTGTCAATATTTAAAACTTATCTTGAGAGTTAAAGTAAATCAGTTCCTACATGCTCAAACTAATTAACTCCATGGATTAGAGCCCGTATTGAGAAGCTAATAGTACACTTGGCTAGTTAAGAAGTTTCCACATTTTATGGACCCGGAAGGTTCATTACCATGTTCACAAGAGTCTTTTAGCTTGAACGCTGAGTAGGGGGCTAACAGTTCCCCAATAAAATGACCAGCATGTTACAAAATGTTACACAGAATCCTCTTACATGTGCTATAAAGTAAAATTTAATTGATATAGTCATAATAAGTTTTATTTTAAATTTGCTAGACAAGTTATTCAGCTCCTCTGTAACTACTTACAGTGCAGTAATCGATTCAAAACATGTTATCAGAGTCTGTGGTTAATGGTTACTCTGATCTGGTTTATATGTGGTTTTCATTAGCATCTCCATATTCCCATTTCTCTAATATTTTACTTGAACTATTATAATATTTTCTTATTTTGACCAAAATAAGAAATAACATCAATAATGTTTTGTGTGTTGGTTATTAGGAGTAGGCAAATGCCCTGCCCTTAGAAAATACTCATCCAGAATTATTCATATTGTACAGTTGAATCCACAATGAGACAGGGTAACATATATTTCTGACATGGCTGCATTGAAATCAGTATTCGTTTGTTTTCTCTAATGTGAATAATATTTTGAGATAGCCACAGTTCTGTGTCATAATTAATAATCATTGTGGAAGGAGAATTGAAGGTCTGCGTTCGATGCTGATATGAAAGCCTGCCATTAAACATGATTCCAAGCTTGTTACATCCAACTCTGATTCTTGCATCATATTTCCCAAAGATCTGTCTCCCATCTGTACAGTCTTTCAAGTTGATGACTCCTAGTTGCTTTCTTGATCAAAATTCTGTATGCATTTCTAGTCATCTGTATGCACAGATCACTGTAGATGCCTAGATTTTATGTCCTAACAATACTTGGTGACCTGTATAAATCATCAAGTTACTCTCTGTAATATCCTAATTGTTCACTCACTTCATCCTTCTGAAATCTGTTTTCCTGAGCCCTTTGTTTTCCTAGCACAAAACAAATGAAAAAATTGTTTTACATATCCTGATCTTCAGCATTCTGGGAAGTAGATGGGATGACAGCAATCTTCAAGTCTTCAGACTGAAACACAACAAGAATGTTCAGATCTTTTAATATAAAATGTTTCATGTTGTCATGAACCTTGGAAATATCATCCTCTACTTCTTGACCATTTCAGGTGTTCTTGCAATTAAGGAATCTGTGTTTTTTTATAATAAAATAGCAACAATTGTCTAAGCTCAGAAAGAAAAGGTCAAGATTAAGGAGGGGGCTATATATCCCCAGGCCCCCAAAATCATCGGGGCCTTTTCTCTCTTCAGCAAGAAACAGCCCCGACTTTCAGTTTTGCCTCTGGCCTTAGAACATCTTATTCCAAGCCTGAGAAATAAATACAAAAGTTTATAATATGAGCCAGTCAGAATGCTGAAAAGCAGTACTGAAACACATCACATACTGTCACGCCCAAGTCATACCTTTAGTGGTACAAACTAATATATATGACTTAAAATAGATTTGTGTGAGAAATCACAGTAGTTGTTTTACTATAAACCCAATATATTATTTGTTACCTACTGTCAATGTCATTGCATAAAAGCAGTTTATCTCTTATAATTAATTTGTCTACTTTTTTCAGTAATTTATCAGTAGTACTTTAGTGAGTGTGGTATACACAACTTTTGAAGCCATTATATTAAATAAATCTTGTTGAAATTGCAGTATACAAAAAATGTACAAAGCTTCACAGCTCAGGAGAAAAGTTTGTTGAGGCTGTGGCTACTTACAAAATACTTTTAATCTTAGAAACCTCACTACCCATATTAACTCACTGCTTTCTTTTTAACACACTTGTAGCATATTTCTGTATTGTAATTCAAAGTAAATTGCTCATTCATCAATGTTTTTTCATCAGACTGTACCAAAGGTACAGAAGTATTTGGTGAGGCAGTAGAGTGTTTGGCAATGTACTGTATATGCTAATGGGATGTGTGAACTAGCAAGCTAAACCTGTCTGGATTTTGTTTACAGTTTGAGCTCTTGGAATAACATTAGCTTTCAAAGTGTGTCAGTTGTCTGTTGTGATTATTTTGTATGTGTGTCCTCTTCCTTTTATTGTTACAAATCAAGCCTTTGTTGCTGTTCAGTTAGACAGGTATGTGAATACTTAAGTATAAGTAAAGCTTGTATACTTCGATCATACAAGTGAGATGTTACAGGATAGAAGATTTAACTGATGCAGGGCCTTGTGTTGTTGTAAATTAGTTGTATTTTTTTCAGTGTCATCAGTTTGTGGGGAAAATATTTCTAGCACACTGAGATAAGTGTTTCCTGTAATCACATTTTCTGCAAAAGTAAAGGTTCTTCTACTGAATGGACTCCATCACATCGACTGCAGTAGACATGTGAAGGGATAGCAGTTGTGATACATTTTTCACAAAATGAATGATATATATCTTAAAAATATGGATTTTTTTATATAGAGAATTTTTCTAGTGGTAAAACTGACTCTGTTTAAACCTAAGTATGAATAATCTGAGTGGTTCTTAGAAATGGATAACATGTAGTAACATTAATGTTCAGGTATGGTTACAAAGATCACTGCATTGAGGTGCCCAATCCGTTGTTTAGTAAGCCTGGCAAGAATGCTGAAATTGGGAATGTTTAGCATGTTAAATGATGAGGAGCTATGTCTGCATTATAATTTTATTATGTTTATGGAATTGGTTGTTTGGGAAATTCCTGCAGGCTCTGAGACTTCATCTGTCAGATTAAGAATTCAACTGTACACAGATGTTGAAAGTACACTATTTTCAGTGAACATTGTATTCATGGTTAGCACACTTGCTTCAGATTCAGAAGGTCCTGGGTTTGATTCTTGGTTTGGTGTCATAATTATTAGTATCTAGAAGTTTATGTGTTGTTAATTGTCTGTTAGTAGGAGTCATATTTCTGTTTCATCCACAGTTTCATTATTCAGTGGACATTGGAGAAGTCTCACGATTGCTGAGTCAGCAAAGAATTGGCTACTGACAATTATTGGTACATCTGCCAAAATAAGTTACCACCACTTCCCATTCTGTCCCATTTCACTACAAATGTTTGTCTTCATGTAATTTGATTGTGTATGACTTATGAGTTAATGTAAAATTTTTGGATATCTTAAAGATATATAAATATTAAACAGTTGATTTATTAAGGGCAGTTTTATAATGTATTGTTTACAGGTAGGCCAGGTTTCAGCCTGTTTTGCAAAAGCCTTTCAACGAGTACCGAAGTCAATGAATAATTCAGTCACATCAAGTGATCTTGGACCAGCAGTACCACCTGACAGAGAACATGTTGAAGTCTATGTATTTGAAGTGAGCATGGAAATCAAAGAAGATGATGGCCGGGTGAGTGCACTACTAATGTATGTGACACACTAAGATGGTTCATGAATTTTTGCATATGTGAGATTACTTATCATCATAGTGGCTGTTATTGCACATGACTTTTGGAACAGTTTCCGTCCACTATCACACATTCCTAATAGCAGCCATAGTTAGTGAATAAGAAGCGTGATAAGCCCCCAGAACTAATTCAAATGTACCATATATCACTTTTAGTGGTTAGCAGTCCTTATATTCAAGAGATACTGGGCTTGATTCTGGATATCCTGACTTATTTTTCATGGTTTTCCTTAGTTTATCCTGTAGAATGCTGGGATAGTAGCTTGTAGTTGGCCTAAACTGCTCCCGTTTATGCCCTTTATAATTTATTATTTGCAGGTGAGATAGTGTCATTAAATAATGCTAAAGTGACTGGGTGATTCAGAGAGAAAAATTCTGTTTCTCTTACCAGGAATCTGATCTTTTCCATCTGGCCAGAAAAATTATGTACTGTGTTTATGGTGTTCGTTATGTGTTGAAAGTAATTAAATATAAAAGTTTTAATGACGTGTTATTTGCTATGGTGCAGAGTGGCTTTAGTGCAGTACCAAAGGACCGAAGTTACTTTAAATTACGTGTGAACCTGGAAAAACAGCTCTGTCTCACAGTACAGCAAGTGTCAGAGAATGAAAGGGACCTGGAGGTGGAGAGGTGTTTTGGTGTACTAGTCAGCCCTGGTCGCAACGTCAAACACAGTGATATGCAGTTGCTTGAGATGGTGAGTGCTGATCATTTATGATACCTGTTCTCATTGAAGTACTTGTTCCTTTACTTGATTTCATAGTTTCCAGACAAGACAGTTTTTTTGTTGTTGTCACCATCAACAACAGCATCATCATAAACCACCCCCACCCCCAAAATTTTAGACTGGTAAGTACAAATAACCAGTTCTGCATCTGTGGACCAGGGTCATGCTAGTTGCACATATATATGTTAGTTATAAATTATTTAATAATATCTGGACTCACTTGTTGTTTTGTTCTGACTAGCCACATTACATGTGGTGTCTTTGCCGACTGCTTGAGAGGTTTATCACTTGCCAGAATTGGGTTTGGTGCCTCTACTTTTTCTGTTTTGTGTACCAAAATTCTGTTTTGACTGTGTGGTCAGTTGGAACAGGGTAGGCACTGCAGTAATTCTGAGGTGTGAGGGAAATTGTTTACAGTATTTTACCATGTTGTGTTTTATGAAGATGTACTTATTTTCTCCTGTTTTACAATATATTACTAGTCATTCAGTTTGTGAGAAACTGTAGTGTTCGTTTGCAGAAGTTCCACTGTGTGAATTTATGTATTTGCATTTGAATTATCTTGGAAATTTCTGTTGTGTTTGTTAAACTTTTTGTGTTTGTTCTATTGAAAAATGAGCATTTTACTTATTGACTGCTGGTCACATGTTTTTGATTGGTCACCTGAGGAAGTGACGGATGTCTCCCCTGCATGTGGGTGCAGCGAGATTGGTGAATGTTGAAAGCAAATTTTGCTGAGCAGTTATGAAACACCTGGTATCATAATGCACATCCTGAGGCCAGTTCTGTAGCTTTATTTATGATTATTTTAAACACAAAACTGAAATTGTGTTTTATTGGTTTTTGTTGTTTCCTCATTTTCCTGTTGACATTTTATAGTTTGAGTTACTGTCAGCATTATTAAGTAAAAAGAGTAAAGATGTGTGATAAAATAACATAAATTTTAGCTTTGTTGCAGGAAATAGTCAGCATAATGGTATTTCTGTGTGGGTATGTGTATTGAGACTGATGATAAAAAAGCAAGA